AACCACTTAAAAAAAAAAAAAAAAAAAAAAAAAAAAAAAAAAAAAAAAAGATGCATAATATTTTGAGGCTTGAGGTACTAGAAAGGATATTTACTTTGCGGGATGTTCGGAGAGTAATGAAACCAGTAGGAATGAAAACAATACCCATCACCAAAAAGGTGCCAATAACCTGCAAATACCCAAATATTGTGATATGGCATATTACAGAAGAACTCATTACAATAGTTTCAGTTACTCACCCATGCTGGGGTGAGGACAGGTTTACATGCTGGAAGACTCTGCTGTGTAAACTGATATATAGCTGCAAAAAAAAAATCACAAAAGGAAAAATAAGTTATCAGTGAAAAAAATGCAATTCTCTTACCCTTTCTGATTACAATGCATTACGAATCAGTAAGCGCACCCTAGAATCATTAAACAAAGTAAAAGTATGATTCCCATATGACACTACATGGCCTACAATTTCTAGTCTGTCCATCTCCATCTTTAAAACCTATCTAAGGTTATATTCCCATAAGTTTAGTACATTTGACGTCCATTAAAACTCAAAACAGATTACCCCAGAGTTCCAATTCAAGCTGTTGCCCTGAATTCCTTAACGACTTCAATTTTTTTACAAACATCACATACTACAGAATCAAATGTCAAAAAAAAAAAAAAAAAAAAAGCCTACAGAATCAATGTAAAACTTACCTTTATGTGGTCTCGAATTCGATTGAGTTGATTGGGCACCTATCGAAGCTCCAGAGGTACTCCCTTCATCCACATCCATCAATTATAGACTTACAGAAGCCTGCAACCCACATATAAAAGGATCCTGTTTAAGTCCTAATGATGAGACTTAACTCGAAAGATGATACAACAATTAGATATGATGATTCTGAAACTCCTATTATGTGTTTTATGACAAACTAAGATTATGTTTTGATTGATTATGACATATTTATGAGTTTTCTTTAATATTATGATTTTCTTTTCTTCTTCATTCAAGGCTTAAGCCTTGATCAACCTTGAGACGTAAGCCTCACCTCGATTAGGAAAAACGTCTCAGTTCCTAAAATAACATGTATCCAAATGACCTATCAAGTTTTGTAAGTTCGAATATTCTATTGACACAATTTGCCCTCTTTAAGTGATCATCCGACAATAACTTTGAATCTCTTTTTACTTATACAATGTTTTATAGTGAAGAACCCAGAATTACATTTTTATAATCAGCAAAAGATCAATATTGATTACAGAATTACATTTTTATAATCAGCGAAAGATTAATACTAATTCCATCAATTTCAACATCAAAATAAGAAAATAAAACGACCCTAATCAGAATATCGTGCAAAAGCCAGATAGTAAAAGCGTTGTATTTCCACCGTTCATAGATTATGAAAGAACATAAGAACTTCATACACATATAAACCTGAAATTGGAATAAAGATTGAATAGAAAGTTTCAAAAAACAAAAAAACAATTGGGACGTGAAATTACCTCTGGAAGGGGAAGAAGAGAGAAAGAAAGATCTGGGAATTTGAGTTTATGGGTTTTAGCTGCTTTTGGAATGGAAAGAACGAGGAAGGAAAATATAAGATTCGAGGTCTGCAAAACTGAGAAATGAGTGTGTTGTTATTCTTAGCTTTCAGACAGAGCAACTGTATTATTACCAAAGAGAAGAGAAATGGCCGATCAAATAAATAAATAAATAAAATAAAATGCAAAGACAATTCGTGAGTTAGACAAAACAAAACCGGTTGTTGATAATAATTTAATAATTAATAAAATCCTTTTTTTTAATGATTAGTAAAGTCCTCTTTTGTTGTTAATAAATCGACAAAATACCGTTTTAGTGTTTTTTTTTCTTGCAAATTTGTGTAAAAATGGCTGTTTTTTTTGACTTATTGGTAGAAAATGGTTGAAGTTTGTAAAATTAGATAAATAATCTCTTCATCAGTGATAAAGGGATGTCTAGATTGATTTGGTGGTATATCCAATATCATTAAGAATCGGTTTAGACAATGATAAAAAAAATTACTTTATTATAGTACAAATTTTAATAAACATAGTAGTTCTCAATTTTTTATGTCAGGTTAATAATTATGACCATCAATTATTATAATTACCACAGGTAATTGTAAAATCACTATCATGTACTATTAATTACAATAAAAACTGAACGTGTTTTTGTATTTTATCAAAACAAACAATTTTTTTTGTTTTTATTTTTATTTTAAAAAAAAAACTAAGTAATAGTAATGCTACCATGACATGTGAACTTATGAAGGACTTAAGCATTGGTATTCTTTTTTTTCTTTCATTTCTTATGGGTCACCTAGCATTCTTAATTTTGTAAATAACTACGTGATTAAAAGAGAAAGAGAATCACCCTTTTCCTATTCTATTTTCCCTTTTATATGTAGTAAACGCACGCCATAATTGTGGTCTTCATCTGTACGCATGAAGCTTACTCTTATGGGTGTGTTTAAAATTGATTTTTATTTGTTTTTTAAACGTTTTTACATGTCTTTTGATGTATGAAAATGGAAACATTTTGCAAACCGTGTTTGTTTACCAAATATTTTAAAAACGAAACGAAAATAAAAAACTGTGAGAATAGTTTTTGTGAATGAATTAAAAAACAGTTGAAAGTTATTTTTCCTTTTCTGTTTTCATTTTCTAGTACTTATCAATAATATTATAATATATTAATTAATAATTATAACCAAACACGATTTCACTTTTTTATTATACTCAAAAAAAATTTTAAAAAAACTAACCAAATGTAATTTCAAAATCAATCCTAAAATGATTATCACAACAATCTCATTTTTTTCTTTTATATTGAAAATAAAATTATTTTAAAAACGTTACCAAACAAGCCTTATATCTTTTAAATGCCTTGCATTTTAAGGCCCACTCTTATATCACGTTGGGGGCATATTCACTTCCTGTGAGGGCACTTTACAAGAACACCATAAGTTTTAAGCTTAAATTGACATGCAAATAAACATAAATTATTACAAAGTATGTCATAGAAAAATATATTAAAAATCATAAATCCATAAAATCACAAAACTCTCACAAAATTTAAAGATACTGAATGGAATACATAAAAATATAAATATAATTTTGCTCAGCACATAAAACTTAAATGATATTATTGTGATATATTGTGTAATAATTTTAGTGCCCATGACAAAACTCAATCTAATCTTAAAAACCAGGACATATTGCTTAAATATCTCTCTTGTGATACCTTAGCTCCTTAGTTATTGAAAACCTAAGCCCGTGTTTGTTTCAATAACTCAAACCCAACAATTCAATTCAAACCATAGTTTATGATTCAAATTGACGTTTAATAGATAATTAAATGAGGACAATTCAAAATATTAATAATAGTTCAAACCCTTAATTTTAAAATTTACCTCTTTTTTAAATTCTAACAATCCACATTATTTTTACGGTGAAAACAATTCAAAAGTATTTTTCTTTTAGTAAATTTACACCGAAAGTCCTTAAACTATTAAACACTTAAGACTTAACACATAGGTCTTTATTTTTGAAATGTTGACACTTGGGGTCCTTAAATGTGTTTTTTTATAGTTTCATAGGTCCTCTCTATCAATTTGGCCGTTAACTCCTCCAACTGCAATAGTTTGGTGACTTACAATGCAAAGTGACTTTAAATAAAAGGACAGGTCATTTCATTTAAGATTTTTTTTTTCTTTCATTTTGAAGTTTTTCTTGTTTTCTTTACTTTGTAATCAATTGAAATTCAAGACATGAATTCAGAAGGTTATTGTTTTTTCTTTTCCTTGAATGAAGAACATAATATGTAGTTACATTGCATCAAATGCACAAAAGTAAAAAAATAAAAAATAAAAGCGACTATTAGGGGTAATCCATTTTTTTGGTAAATTTTTTTTTTTAGTAAATATTAGAAAAATATTGATAAAATTAATGATAGAACATTTTGGGAAAAAAATTTAAGCTTTATTCTTTTTAGATTTCGAATTATAGCTCATACTTTTTATTATAGTAATTTCTCTCATAATAGTTCAAATTCAACTTTTTTACTATAGTATTTTTCTCACATTAATTTATTTTTCAACTCGAATCAACAAAAAAATAGGTCCTTCATGAAAAATATTAGTAATTTGTAAATTGCATCAAATTACAACAATTAAAAAATTAAATCAAATTACCTTTTGCGAAACATTTTCAATAAAGGGGGAAATTTTGGTCAATATCGGAAAAATATTGATGATATATCTAGGGCTATTCATGGGTTGGGTTGGTGCGGGGTAGGACTTTTTTTTCCCCGCCCCAAAGGGTGCGGGTTGCACATATTTGGCCCCAACGATGTTAGAAAAATTTCACAACCCAACGATGTTCGGGTTGGGTTGGGGCGGTGCGGGGTGGGTTGGGTGGTCGGTTTTAACATTCAAAAAATCAAAGACTTAAAGTTCAATATAATATTCAAACTTCATCATTAAATAGAAATAGTAACCATCCTTATCAGTCCGGAGAGAGAGCACCAGAGAAAGTGGACAAGACGGCGGCCGAGAGGACTGAGCAATGAGGAGAGAGTTATGAGGGGGTTCACGGGAGGGGAAGAAGAAGGAAAACTGAAAAGGAAGAGGCAAGAAGAGGGGGTTCACAGGAGAGGAGACCGAGAATGAGATTGTGAACCCTAATGTTAGTGAGCCTAGGGTAGAACTTAGGCAGTTCGGCTTGGGCCAAAAGCTTGGGGGTATGTTGTGCGGGTTGGGTTGGGGATTGCAGGTTGTTATGGGCCCAACCCGCAATCCACCCCAAACACTTCGGGCTAGAGATATAATGAGCTGCAAATTTAAAAATAATGCTGCGGGTTGCTTTTTTCGGCTTGGGTTGGGGCGGGGGGGTTGGGTTTGCGGGTTGTTCGGATTTATGAACGGCCCTAGATATATCGATATTGGTTGAAAATATGAGAGAAAAATAATAAACATTAAATTCTTATAAGCAAAAACTATATACATGCTATATACTGAAACGTACACTTAAACTTTTCATATTGTAAAAACTCCCAAACATAGGGAAGTTTTTTTATGAGATTTTTGCGACCTGAGTCTCTAAACTTTGCAACTTTTGACATTTAGGTCCTCATTTTAGGAATTTAGACACTCAGATCTCTAAATTTTGCAACCTTAACACTTAGGTCCTCATTTTAAGAATTTGTATACTTAAATCTCGAAACTCGGTCTTGTTCATTTCACCAATTCGAGTTTTCAGTTTTAGGTTTCTACAGTAAAAAGTTCTCAAAAAATGTCACATCTAACTTTTTCTGCTACAGTAAAAAACTCTCAAAAAATGTCACATCTCAACTCAAATTAAAAATTTGAATCCGCGAAGTGAACGAGCCTATTGACGCTTCTTTATTCTATTGTTAAATGCCATAAAAGATGTCAAAATATAGAGGCTTTTTTATGCTTAGATTTCCAAATATATATACATACATATATTTACAAAAAGGTCTTCAAAAGCTCTCATCTTTTTTGTTTTGAGTATAATATGTTATTTTTTGTCAAAAATAAAGGGATAAAATTATTTTGGTGCCATGCATTATAATAAAGCATGGTATTATAATAAAGCATGCAGTTGGTACTTTATCTTTTTAAAAATATTAAAATGTACCTTCAAATTTTTAAAAACATCTTTTAAATACCTTAACAACCTTTTTTGTGATGTGAAATGTCTAAACTGCCCCTCACATTAATTTACTCTAAATTAAATTTTACAAAATGCATTAAAATTAGAAAAAAAGTACAATAGAAAAAATAAAAAATACCTCTCTCTCTCCTCCCCTCTCTGTCTCTCGAGTCTCTCTCTTCGCTCTCTTTCTCTTCCCCTCTCTATCTCTCTTACTCTGCCTTTCTCTCTCTTCTTTTCTCTAACCCAGATAAGATTTTCTTCATTTCTTCCCCCACCAAATCTTTAAACAATATTAAACGAACCAAACAAAATCTGCAATAAATAACACATATAAAAAGTGAAGGCTTTGAGTTTGTGGTTAACGCATGTGGGCTCATTACGCCGTTGCCGACTCCATCACCACCATCCCAAAAAGGCTGAGTTCATCATTTCCCAAATCAATAACCATATTACAGAAATCAAGTTAAAGGGAAAATTCAATCCATCAAAATCTCTCAAATGAAAGAAAGCATTACAAGCAAATCGAAGATAATAAGTCATAAATTAAAAATATATACACAAGCAGATCTGGAAATCAGAGATTAGCAAATGAAAATAAAAAATTAAAAAACCGAAAGAGAGATCTGAGAGAGAAAGACCATCGCCGTCCTTCAACTCGGAGTTCTGGTCGTCGGTGAGCTGATCGGCCATTGCTGAAGCTCGTTGGAGGGGAAAGAGGGAGAAATCACGGGAATCAAACATGGTCTGATCGAGATTTTGGAGGAGAAAGAGTGAGAAATCACGGGAACCAAAAGCGTCGGCTGGACTCGCCGGAGAGAGGAACAAGGAAGAGAGTTTGCTCGAGAGAGAAGTTATTTTTGTTTTTAAGTTTTTTTTTTTTGTTAATTTTTAAATGTTTAAAAATAATTTCAGAATTTTTTAAAATTTATTGATCTTTATTTAATTAATGAGAGGATATAATGACATTTTACATTTTAAAAAAAGTACGAAAGCATTTAAAAAATGTTTTTAAAAATTTAGTGGTATTATTTTAAATTTTTAATATTATAAAAAATAAAAGATATATAATACAAAGTATTAAAGTAATTTTATCTCATAGGTTAATTATAACAATGAAGGACAACAAAGCAATTGTTATAAACAAAAAAAAAGCAAGAAATTATCATAACTATTATCGAGGAAATTGGCGGTCATTCAAACAATTGTATTAATCTGGCCATGTTTACTTATTCGTAATCGGGGTGGACATCAATTGGAGTGGATAAGATTTAGAGTGGGCAGGAATCAGAGTCAGAAATCGGAGTTAAAATAAGCTGTTTACTTAGGTTTCAGGAATTAGAATCGGAATCAATCTCAATCCTATTCATGCGTTTACTTACACTCAGAATCAGAATAAACTGTTATAAATTTACTTACCTACCCTTTTAGTAGATTTTTGTGTGTTCAACTTTAAAAAAAAAAAAATTGTATATTATGCTAACTATATATTAAAATAACTAACTAGTAATTAGATTTTTTTAATCACACCTAATTATTCATCTAAGTTATTTTTCTCAATAAATTTTAATTCAATTTCAAGAAAAGAATATGATGATGAAATAAAATAAGAACAAAATAGCAAAACTAACTAAAGTAGTAATCAACGTGTTCAACCCAAAAAAAAAAAAAAAAAAAGCAAACTGAAAACAAAAATAAAAGATGATTTATATCCTACCTGCAAATTGAAGAACCGGCAGAAGAGGAGAAGAGGATATCGTAAATGGTTGAGAGAGAAAGAAGGAAATAAACCCTAGAGAGTTAAATAAAAGAGAAAAATTAATGGTAAATTCGTAACTTTGTATTTAATATCAAGAATGGGTGGCAATCCGGTGGGGGGTGGGGAGAGTGCCAATCCCATTCCTCAACCCCAAATTGGTGTGAGACCCACACATTTTCACTCTCATTCTAAGATATAAATGGGTAAGTAAACATAGAGTTGATTCTGAATCTCAATTCTCATTCCCTACTCTTGATAAGTAAACGTGCCATAATTATATTGGTGAGTTAGTTCTAAATACAACGATTTAAGTAAAGAACAATGACGCAATAATTTGTTATCTAACAATTTGTTTATTATGAAGTTAATGAATGTGTGATAAGATTATTAATTTTGTGATTATTAATTGTAATAGTATTGGTCTCATTATTTTAATTCTTTAAAGTACTATGTGTATAAGGATTATATAGATTTATCACTTTACAGATTTACTTGATTTTGAGATGTTTGTAGATTTGATATATTTTTTTTTCTTTAATAACATGAACCTCATTTGAGCTATTCTTAATAAAAAAAATTGACGATATTACAAACTCACTCAAAATATAATGGATTAGATGGCCAATATCTTAAATGATATTTATGAATTTCTTATTTTTTTTATATAATAAGTTGTTTTGTTGTCATCAATTGTCATCAATTATCGTAATTTACTCTGTGTTACAATATTTTAACATGATTTTTGGACAAAAATAACATGTTATACTTCAAAAAGAAAATAAAAAAGAGGAACATTGAGGACCTCTTTGTAAGGGAAAAAAATACATATTTTGGAGATCTAAGATATAAAAAAGCCTCAAAATATTGATGTTGACGGTAGAAATTCGTCAATAGAAGTAATTCAAATTTAAAGATAGATAACGTGATTTTTGTGATCAAGAATACAATTAAGGAAGATTTAGAGAAATCAGAAAATAAGAACACAGATTTATAGTGGTTCACCCTTTATTCAAGAGCTACGTCCATTGTGAGGAGAAGAGAAATTCACTATGTTATAGAAAAATGATTACATAATGTCTCTCTGACTTGTCCTTTCTACATATATATACCCCCTGCAGCTTGAGTAATTTTTCTGATTTTATTCTAGGATATTTTCCCCATATTTTGGGATAATATCCCCGGTTGGTTTGGATTTTTGCCAATCAACAAGATTTTCTCATTTGCTTCTCCATTTTCTTCACTTATTTTAATTACAAGTCACAAATCTCAGAGCATGCCCTATACCTCTCTCGATCTGCGTGGACTCCACTTCTTAGGCGCTCTTTGAGCCATCTTCGCTTACAACTGCTAGTGTGGTCGACCTCTTGTTTTTCTCGACCACTTGAAGCGATCGACCGCCTTCATACAGTTTTCACTTTACAGCGTTCTACTCCTAAGAGAACCTTTGTTTGACGTGGCTGCTAGGGCAAAGCCGTCTCCAATCATTAAAATGTCCTCATTTATGACGCGTGAGTCCCATCTAATGTCCGGATTAGGGTTTGGAATTTTTACCCTATATTAATTGACATTGTTATGACATTTACCAGCAAAATCAGGATATAGACTAAATGTGCTAGCAAATTAAGAGTTAGGGATCTGAGTATCTAAATTCTTAAAACAGGGACATAAGGGTCAAAGGTTGCAAAGTCTGAGAAGCTATAAGGCACTGTTATTTTTATAACTCAAGTCACAACTTAAATTCTACTGCTAAAGTATTTTATCTCATAAAAATTTAAATTTAACTTTTTATTATAATATTGTTCTCTTACATACACAACTCAAGTTGATTGTGAAACAAACATACCCTAAATATCTATATTCTTAAAATGAAGATCTAAATGTCAAAGGTTGTAAAGTTTGAGGACCCATGACGTAAAAATCCCTTTATATATAAACTATAATCAGTATAATGTAATATATTTTCAACCTAAATATTATTTTTTAGATTATATGTTTTTAAATTGCATGTGGGCCCGCAATGACTAGAAGTAAATTTTTTGTAAATATTTTTCAATTATAATTAATTTTTAGAAAAAAAATTAACTTGAAAAAAAAAAAAAAGGTAAACCTATGAAATAAACTAGTTAACAATTTTCCTTTTCAATATCGTTCTTAACAAATTTTTCTAGAGCTGAAGAGTGAAGAGTAAATGCTCGCAAGTTGTTGGGTTCTCATCTCCCATTTCCATCTAACATGCTAACCTCTCAACGATCAAGAAATCTCCTCCTCCCCAATTCTTTCCTTCCCAAATTCCGGCACTTTCCCGGTACCCAAACACGACCTCTCAACACTCTCTCTTCACTCTTGAACCTCTGCACCAAACCCAGACAGCTCACCCAAATCCACGCCCGCTTCATCCTCCATGGCCTCCACCAAAACCCGACAGTCTCATCGAAACTCATCGACTCTTACGCCACCTTTGGCCTGCTTAATCTCTCTCAACAACTCTTCAATTCTTTTTCTAATCCAAATTCGGTTCTTTACAACGCAATGCTGAGAAATCTGGCCATGTTGGGTCATTTTGAGAGGGCCGTTTTGGTTTACCGAGAAATGGTCGAGAAATTCATTTACCCGGATGAGGAAACTTTTTCTTTTGTTTTGAGGTCGTTTTGTTGCTTGGGAGATGTCGAAAATGGGAAAAGGGTTCATGGGTGTTTGGTGAAACTGGGTTTGGATTCATGTCGTTTGGTGGGTTCTGCTTTGGAAGATTTTTATAGGAAAAGTGGTGGTAACACGGGTGGTGGATTGGATTATTGGAATTTTTTTATTGTTAAGGCTGCTCAAAGTGGAAATGGAGTGGAAAGTTTTAGGCTTTTTAAGAGGATGAGATTAGAAAGTGTAGAGCTTAATTCGGTTACTTTGTTAAGCTTGTTGAGGTCTAGTGTTGATTTGAACTTGTTGAGTGTGGGAAAGATTGTTCATTGTTTGGTTTTGGTTAGCAATTTGGGGAAAGATTTGGCTGTTAATACTGCATTGTTGTCTATGTATGCAAAGTTGGGTGCTTTACGAGACGCCGGAGTTTTGTTCGAGAAAATGCCCGAAAGAGATTGTGTTGTTTGGAATGTGATGATATCGGCAAATTTTCGAAATCGGCGTCCCAAGGATGCCCTTAGAATGTTGAGCTGCATGGGAAGATCAGGAATAAGAGCTGATCTATTCACTGCACTGCCTGCAATTTCTTCGATTGCGCAGTTGAAAGCGATTGAGTGGGGCAAACAAATGCATGTCCATGTGCTCAGAAATGGTATAGACTACCAAGTTTCAGTTCACAATTCACTTATTGACATGTATTGTGAGTGTGATAAATTAGGTTTGGCAAGAAAGATTTTTGACTTGGTGAATGATAAAACTCTGGTTACATGGAGTGCAATGATCAAAGGATATGTGACACATGATCAGTTTCTTGATGCTCTTTCTTTATTTACCAAGATGAAATCTGATGGGCTTAAAGCAGATTTCATTACAATTATTAACATTTTGCCTGCTTGTGTGAATATAGGGGCACTAGAGAATGTGAAGTGCTTACATGGGTATTCTATTAAATTTGGTCTTGGCTCACTTTCGTCGCTTAATACAGCGCTTCTTGTTAGCTATGCGAAATGTGGATGCATAGAGATGGCTCGGAAGCTTTTTGATGAAGAGAAAATCAATGATAAGGATGTGATCACATGGAACTCTATGATCAGTGCGTATGCTAGGCATGGAGGTTGGAAACAATGTTTTGATTTGTACGACCAAATGAAGCAATCGAACATTATACCCGATCAGATTACCTTTCTTGGAGTAATAACAGCGTGTATAAATTCTGGTCTTGTGGAAGAAGGGAAAAAGGTTTTTAAGGAGATGACGGAATCATATGGTTGCCAACCAAATCAGGAACACTATGCTTGCATGGTTGATCTACTAGGTCGTGCCGGGCATCTCAACGAGGCCAGGGAACTTGTGAAATCCATGCCTTTTGAGCCAGATGCTCGAGTATGGGGACCTTTGTTGAGCGCATTTAAGATGACGAATTCAGAGACTGGCCTTGCTGAGTATGCTGCTGAGAAGCTTATAACTATGGAACCGAAAAATGCCGGGAATTACATATTGCTCTCCAACATATATGCTGCGGCAGGAAAGTGGGACGGAGTTGCGAAGATGAGAAGTATTCTTAGGGACAGAGGGCTGAAAAAAACCCCAGGGTGTAGCTGGCTCGAGATAAATGGACGCGTACATGAGTTCCGCGTAGCTGATTGGTCTCATCCAAGATCTAATGATATATACACAATATTAGGAAACTTGGAGCTGGAAATCAAGATGCTAAAGGACAAGAGATTAGAAAATATGATTTAAACCCAAATTCTGTCACCAGAGGATTGGTTTTTGCATTGATTATGGGAGAGTAGATATCCCAAATTCTGTTCACGAGAGGATTAGTTTTTGCATTGATTATGGGAGAGTAGATATCAGCTTCTACAATCGTTACTAAGGAACAATAGCTGAAACAAAAAGACCATAAAAAGACAACGAACTATTTTTTGCTAGCCATAAAGAAAACGCATCACGGAGAAGGTAAAAGATTTGAGCTGTAAGGTGTTGAGTTGTTACGCGGCCTCTTTATACTGTACACTTTCCCTTTGATCGCGGCTCGACCTAATTCTCGTAACATCACACAATGGACCTAATTCTGGGGCCTAGGCTCACTTGCACAGGCACTAACTTGGGACATTGTATCAGAACATCAGTAATATTGTTGCTCAAATCCATGTTCTACATCTTGGTATGCTCTGTTCTGAGGACTTTTACCTACAGAAACGCCATTGAAGTAAAGAGTTCTAATTCAAATTATTCATTGCAAAGTAGAGGCATTGGGTTGGTGTGGAAGAGTTCTTGTTCCAACTGGTATAATTATTGGATTTTACATCGACTGCGTGCGTAGCAGCAGAAATTTCCTTCCAATAATGTTACATGTTAACCATAAACTTGAATTCTGAAGAACAAAAGAATCAGACTACCTTTTCATGTCATTGTCGTGTTCAGTTTCTGAGTACTTTCCTCAGAACATATTGGCAACAGCGGGCCAACGAAAGACGAACGATAATTCATATGCATTTTGTTGTTGATGATGACATTGATAATCCTCTGCTGTAGATTTATGAGCTGATAAATTATACTAAAACAGAGCTGTTTATTGTACCTCATTGAAATGAGTTTTTCCATTCTCTTTGGACCATTTTTACTTTTGCTTAAATAAATATTATACTAAAGCATCTGAATGCAATGTATTCCTTTACCAATCATAAACTAGGCGTAGATTGTCATTGGACTATCTCGCAGGGGCTTTCAAAACAAGTAGTTCTCTTTGAGTATTGCAGAGAAGCAAGAGGGGCCTAACAATAATGCCAAAATGTCGAGAGTGCTGCTTGTGGGTAGGAGAAGAGCACGACTCAATTTTTTTTTTAAAAAAAAAAAATCAAAAAGTCTAGATGATACGGATTCAATTCTTTCTTCTTGCGCCAAAAATCGTACTATTTTCAAAAGAAATAGAGTTACATATCTTTTTCATTTTCATTCAAGAGTTCTTATGTGTCTGTACGCCCTTTGAGACCCTGAGAAATGGACAAATTCCTTGGATTTCTAAAGTAAAAATAACCCCAAAATGCCAAGGAATCATAGAGGAATACTGTCGACACTAGTTGATTAGAGCCACTACTTTGGCAGATCAATTGATGCCAAAGGATGAAACTTTTTTGGAGACATGCTAAGGAAGGAGGAGCAAACATTTAAAAAAAAAAAACAATAATAATAAATAAAAAGGAGAGGTAGCACAAAATAATAATTCAAAAAGTAAAGTATACAATTCTACACACAAAATTGATATGTTGGACCATTTGTACCAACATTTGAGCGACAATTGACAAATCTCTTTGGGAATCCAAGACACTTTCATATAAAGACCTTACACGAAGTTTCATACTAATTCTCTGGTTAGCCATTTTCACGATGTTGCATCTTCTGTTGATGCATCATTTCCTCCTTTTGAATTGTTGTTTCCAATCCGTAGCTGTCTGGATGCTGAACAAGAAGGAAAAGGAAATAATAAATCACAAGAACAGCTAAAAAAAGATTCAGATATACACCACTTGATACAAAATAGCCAAAAACCTACAATCAAACTGGAGTATGGTAACTGCCAATTGGGAATTGGCAGCTTCAAAGTACCAAAATTAGGATAGCCTATTCGTTTGCATGTTCGTTACATTCTCACTCCATTTGTTTCCGTGGTATTTTCTAATCTACCATCTCTAATCAAACAAAAAAGTGTGAAGCAAAAACAATGTACTTTACCAGATAATTAAGTCAGTTGTGTGACTAATTTACTCTTTTTTTGCTTGGAGTTCATGTATTATTCTTTCTTCAGCATGTTAACCATTTTCACACGCTAAGGTGTATGGCATAATCTCCATCATTGACACACAATATTAAGATAGTTGGAAAATAGGACAGTAACAGAACTTACATTTAAGAGAGGATCCGGCAAGACAAGTTATCCTGGATTTTGTATTGGCCTCAGCCAATGGATTGGGTTTCTCCTTCATAGCCATACGAACATCCCAGACTCGTATAACCCCATCTGATGAAGCAGAGGATACTAAGTATGGATCATCATCAGCAGCAGCACCGGCATTCCTTGAGAGCACAATGATCCCCTTCACACGGCTAGAATGCGCTTCCTTAATATTGTATGCAACTTTCCCACTGTTTGTATCCCACGCTGTAATACTACAGTCCTCACCCCCAGTGAATAAAAGACCATTCTGCCACAAGTCAAAGTTAACATCTATGAATAAAGAGGAAAAAAAAACACATGCATTCCTAAAATAACTAAGATCACGATCATTTCTTTTTTACTTTTATTCAACATTCTGTCTTATATTAAAGATTACATACACATTCTGTGGACCGTTATAGAAGAAATATTGTTAACAAAAAGTTTCTAATCTATGATTCGATAACCGTAGACTCAATATATGACCAAGAAAATAATTCTCTTCAGCACCAGGCCAACTAACATCATCAAAGTGTAATGTCGGAGATCCCAACTCTTATGCCAACTTTTTGATACCAACTCACTTGGTACGTGATTTACTATATTTTCATTGGTAAATCCGATAATATTTTAATATTAATTGACGTGAAATTTTTTAGACACCAACCAATAAAAAAATAACGGCTCAAATGTCATGCCAGTAACTAAAAAATTAGAATAAAAGTTGGGATCTTTAGTGTTATTTAGCCATCAAAACAATTCATAACCAAAGTTTCTGTTGACGATATGATATTCAACATATGGCATCTCAAGTTCAATTCCTATAAAATCCGTATAAATAACTTATAAAAGCAGCACACTAAATATAGCTAAAAATTCACAAGAAGTAACTCTAAAACTGCCTGAATAAGAAGTTATGACTAAATGGCCTAAAAGAAAAATTCACAATTTAACAAAAAGAACAAGAAAACAAGATGAAATTTTTAAGCCCTAAGAAGCTAACCTCGCCGGATGCAGCACAGAGGACTCGCATCGGGCTCTCCAATTCGGCAACGATCTTCGCATCCTCAGCCTCATGAACGGAAATCTTCCTATCAACGACCATGAAGAACTTGTCCCCGCCGGAATCGAACCTCACCAAGCTCGCCTCCCTCCCTATCCGGCAATAAAAGCTTCTCCGGCCCCTAATCAGGTTGAGCATGCCGAGGCACTCGTCGCGGCCGACGGTCAGCGCCAGCTTCCCGGAGGGATGAATGGCGAGATCGTTGATTCCCTTCTTGTGAACTCTAACGGTCTTGAGGAGGACGAAGGGATCAGCATCGTAGATGCAGACGGAGCCGTCGGCGTCGGCGGAGACGAGGTTGCGGGGGAAGGAGAGGCCGGGAGGGGTGAAGAAGGAGAGGGAGGTGACGGAGGCGGCGTGGTCGTGGAGGGAACCAAGGGAGGAGGCGGCGGAGAGGTCGTAGAGATGGACGGTGTCGTCGGAGCCTCCGGAGGCCGCGGCGGGGCCGGCGGCGGCGGCGGATGTGACGGAGGAGAGGTGGGAAGGGTAGGAGAAGAGAGGGGTTAGGGTTAGGGTTTGGGTGGTGGGATCGGTTTTGAGGGGCTTGAGCTTGAATCCCCAGATGAATCGCTCGTATGAGCCTGCGATTAGGCTCATGGTTATGGTGGTGGTGAAAACTGAAAAGTATGGACTTGTTGAGGAGAAGAAAGAAAAATACGAAGGTTTGACTTGAGGAGGGTTTTGTATTGGGTTTTAGGGGGAGGACTGAGAGAAGGCAAGGATTTTTATTTTTATTTTATTTTTTTGGCTGCAACTCTGAGAGAAGGCAGTTTGTTCAAACTACAAATGTAGCCCCCGAGCTTTTGGTTTGCTTAACAAGTTGCATTTTTTTTTTGGTTTTTAGACATTGAAATTCCTCGTGTTTTGCCAAATACTCCTTTGGTGTTGACGTTGGCCTTGTTCTTTACGCTGATTTGAGTTTAGAATTTGAATTTTGTTACAGTAAAAAACTCTCAGAAACAATCACATTTAACTTTTTTACTACAGTAAAAAGCTCTCACACAACATCACATCTCAACTCGAATTAAAAACTCAAATTAGCGAACCGAACGGGCCCTATTTGTTTGAATTAAGAGCGTGTCTCTATAATTTCGACAAAACTTCAAGGGTGTCTAAATGAAGATGGGAATTAAAGATAACAAATAGAGACTTTAGAGACCTAAGAACGTCTATAAGGGAATTCTCTATTTTTAATTAAATTATAGTTAAAATAGTTAAAAAACTATTTTAATTAGTAATTTTTTAGTTAGTTACTCTAATCATACTTTATATTTTAACTAAATATAAATTATTTTAATATTTATAAAATTTAAATATAAATAATTTTATTTAATTTAAAAAAGAACATTTGCATTTACTGAATATGAAACAATAAAATAATACAATAAATCAAATAACTAGCCACTTTTTGCTAAGTATATTTAGCTAGTGTGAATGAATTCTCTAAAATAGCTAACCATATAGTTGGAGTGGAGAAAAGCTAAATCACTGTCTATTTTATTTAAAAACATGAAATAACTAGTATGGTTAGAGTTGCTCTATTTTAGTTCGGGACTTGAATGTCCAAATTCTTAAAATAAGATCTAAATGTTAAAGGTTTTAAAGTTTGGAGACCCATAGTGTAAAAATCCATTTTTTTAATAAGGAAAGAACTTCATAACATTAATAGCATGTTTACCTACATGTAATCAAAATGAGCATGAATTGGAATAGGTAGGATTTGGAGTCAGGAATCATAGTCAAAATAAATTGTTTACTTGGTGACAAAATTCAGAATCAGACTCACTCTAAATCTCATTCATGTGTTTACTTACACCCAGAATCATAATGAAATAGAGTAAAAGTTCTAATATATCATTTAAGTCAATTTTATATTTTTAATTTAAAAATAAATTATGTACTTATTATATTAAATTTAATCATAATTAAAATATTTAGTGTAATAATAGGGTAATAAAATAATAAATATAAATTTTACAATTATTTAAAATATAAAAATAAATTGTTAAAATTTAAATAAAATAAATAAAAAGAAAATATAGTGTTAAAAATTAAAATATATTATTGATTTATTAAACAAATAAAGTAGACATTTATTAACAATAATGAGGCTAATATTATAATATTAGGCAAATAAAATAATTTATATATGTTGTAATTATTATTTTTAAAATTTATTTTTAATTTTATATTTATAAGTAAAATAGGGGAATGATAATAATTTAATATTAATATTAAGAATGTGAGTCCTAATTCTAAGGGGGGGCATGAGAGTGCCAAACTGTCAATTTTATTTTTCAATTTCAAATTTAAGTGAGGCCCTCAATCAAACTCTTATTTCAGAATAAAAAAGAGTAAGTAAATATGAAATTGACTCTTATTTTTTAATTTTGATAAGTAAACATATTATAAGTGGCTAAATAAGCAAAAACAATAAAGGAAAGAATACAAATTAAGAAAAGCAGAATTTGTCAATAGATGGGCTACCTTATTTTTATCTTGAGATATATAACAATGACATCTGTGAATATCTTTAATAACACATTCATCATCAGATAAAATTGACGCTGCCAACTTTTGAGGTTTTTTTTTTTTAGTACTTTTAACCTTTTAACTTTTTTTGAGTTTTTAATAATTTGTTACAGATTTTTTAATTTTGACATTTTACTTCCAACTTATAAAATCATTACAATGAGACCCATTTTACTAACCGTCATCAAATTAGAGAACGGAAAAGCCAACGATGTCATCGTGTAAGGAAGAAAATGTTCCAAAGCTCAATTCAGATCCTAGTACAAATCATTCAACTCTCTGAATCAACCTTGAAAAATACTCAAATCTCTAAATCAACCCCAAATCAAAACTAAAATGATTAAAAAAATAGAGCATATCGTGACGTAATTTGACAAAAGTATACATTTATTTTATCTCAAAAAAATTAAATTTGCTCTACGTTGAGAACTCATATTGGTATGATAAAAAACACATCAAAATAAATAATATACAAAACAACTAGTTTCTTATACAACTTTGATGGATAAAAAGCAAAATTTTACTGTGCATCTTTTTAACCCTACGGTAAATTTTTTTTTATCTTTTACTATTATTATCATGAATTTTTTATGGTACGTTAATATATTAGTATGTCATATTTTCTATTTATTAAATTTATATTAAATTATGTATAAATTAAAAAATATATAAATTTAATAATTAAAAAGATTTGATTTACCGGTACATTAAATATATAAGAGAATCTCTCTTATTGTTATTATTATTTGTTTCTTTTTAGGCCATTTCCTGTTGATTGGTTGGAATTGGTGTAAGGGGAGTACGGAGCGCGAAGCATTCCTAAGATGGGTACCAGTTTTGAAAGTTTGGCGGCGGGCATGCCTGATGCCTAAAAATTTTTGGGCACAGCGAACAGGCGCCATTTGCTGCCCGTCTGACCATTTTGGCCGGGCTCGGACAACCCGAGGAAAATCTATTCCGACAGCCCGCCGCCGGTGGAGAAGTCGAGTTCGCCGTCCGCCGATTTTTTTTTTGAATTTTCCCGCGTAACCTGAATTTGCCCGAAAAAATGCCTGAATTCTTTAGACCGTTAGCCCAAATTTTGTCCGAATTTTTTTGACTGTTAGCCCGAATTTTGAACCCAACGGCTTTTTTTGCCCGACCCGACCGCCGCCCAAATTCTGCCTGAATTTTTGAACCCCAACGGCTATTTTTATTACCGTTGCCCGAACCCAACCCGATTGCCCGAATTTCTCATAACCGTTAGAATCGAATTTTTGGGGGGAAAAAAAAATTTTTTCAAGCCAAAAAATTTCCTATAAATACCCCCCTCCCCCAACCATTTTTCTCACCCAAAAACTCTCATCCTCTCTTAATTTCTCTCAATCTCTCTCAAATCTCTCTTAATCTCTCTCATATCTCTCTTAATCTCGCTTAAATCTCTCTCGATTTCTCTTAATCTCTCTTATTTTTCGTAATAGCTTCTTCTGGTTATGGTGGTGATATTCTCATTGATGCCCAATTCAACATCGAAGAAATGCAATTTCCTAATATTTTTCAAACGCAGGAATCGCAAACTACAGAAAGAATTGCTGAGGAAACTACAAATCCGAGCCCTGGTGGACGTAATGGTGGTGGGCGTGGAGGAGAGGCAAGTGGAAGTAGTGCAAGTGTTGCAATTTCTAAGAAGAAATGCAAGCGCACCTCAGCAGTTTGGGAGCACTTCAACACATTCGAGGAGGTCGATAATAACGGTAACATTAAATACATAGCTCAATGCAAATATTGTGGTGATAAATTACAAGGTAACACTATTCACGGCACTACACACTTGAGAAGACACTCTGAAAAGTGTCTTCAAAAGTAAAGAGGCGGACCCGATCTCCGCCAAACACAATTATCATTTGACTGCCAAATCGGTGGTCTAACTACTTAGAAATACAATCCGCAAGTCGATCGTATGGAAATGGCATGCTTAGTAGCCACATTATATCAACCACTTAGTTTTACCGAACAAAGGAATTGGCAGCGTTATATTAAAATTGTACATAATCCTAATGCACAATTTTTTTCAAGAACTACTCTTAGGAAAGATGCATTAAAATTATATAAATAAGAAAATGAAGCATTAATCAACCTTTTACACTCTACTAGTGGTTGTGTTGCGTTAATAGCATACATTTGGTCCGCCGTTGCCAACAAAGATTATTTAGCTGTAACTGGATATTATTATAAAGGTTTTGATTTAGATAAGAGAATGTTAGGTTTTAAATGTGTTATAGGATCATATACTGCCAATTTAATATATAACACAATTTTATCTGTCATTGATGAAAATAGTTTAAGGGATAGAATAATGGTCATAACATTAGATAATGCAACTGCAAATACTAAAGCAATAGAACTTTTTGAAAATAATTTAAGTTTATTCGGTAATAATGATATATTTCACCAACGTTGTGCATGTCATATAATTAATTTAATAGTAAAATCCGGTTTAAAATCAATGTCAGGTCATATTAAAAGAATTAGAGATAACATTGCTTGGATTCAAGGTAGTAATCAAAGAATACAAGATTGGTTTAGATTTCTACAAGCATGTAATCAAAATCCTAGAGCATTAACCTTAGATATGCCCATAAGATAGAACTCCACTTATATAATGCTTGAACAATGCATCCCCTATAACAAATTATAGGTAGATTTATATATGCTATAACAAATTATGTTAGTGCCAAATTAGGATCATGATTTATAGATGAAACTGATTGGCAAATTGTTGAACTCTTGTTTAACTTTTTAGGTAGATTTCACGAAGTTACTTTAAAGCTTAGTGGAACTTATTACCCAACGTCACTATTAGCGTTAGGAGAACTTTTAAGAATGTCTATTTTATTTAGTGAATTTAGGACACACGAGGTTTTAGGAGTTCCTATCGCCTCTATGGAAAAGAAGTTTAAAAAATATTGGTCTAAATTACCAATGTTGTATGGTTTCGGTGTTATTTTTGACCCTAGATTAAAACCAGATGGTTTAGAAAGTGGATTAGATAACTTAGGTGACTTTTTAGCTATCGACACTACTGACCAATTTCCTATTATAAAGGAAAAAATATTTTCTCTCTATAGCTCTTATGAAAGTAGGTTTAGAAACACACCTAATGTAGAACAATCGCAACAACGAGACGACAATCCGCATTCATTCTTGAATGTTTTTAGGTTGTCTAAGAAGAAGAAGAAGAAGAAGAAGACAACAACGACTCAAGGTCAAGAAGAATCTAGGAGTGGATCTTCATCAAGAGGTGGTGGCAACAGCGGTGGCTTCAACAAGTTAATGGCGTACCTGAGTGAGGGCTTAGTTGTAGACAATAGTGAAATGTTTGATCTGGTTCAGTGGTGGAGGGCAGGAGCATTAACTTGGCCGATCCTAACACGACTGGCAATGGATATTTTTTCGATCTTAGTCTCCACTGTTGCAGCTGAACAAACATTCAGTACAACCGGCCGAATACTTGAAAAACGGAGAAACGCATTGTAACAGGATATTGTTGAAGCTTTGGTGTGCATCAAGGATTGGGATCGTTTCGACCAACGCTTACACGATACAATCTCACCGGCAAGCCAAGAATAGATCGACGAATTTAATAGATTAACTTTTAATTTTCAAGACGATCCTTATGCTTCAAATTAAATTATATTATTGTAATTTGTAAATATTTATTTACTTTGTATAGTGTTATTGTAATCTTGTATAGACTTTGTAAGTTCGTCAAATTTGTAATTCGTCCCACAATGATTGCACTTTTTTTTTCCTTATCATGTTTTTATCCCAATTGGGTTTTTCTTGGTAAGGTTTTTAACGAGGCAATCATGAATTACAAATTTAAACATCAATAAAGAAATAATTTTTTTATATAGTTCGTGTGTTCATTCAAATTTTAAATTGTAATATATATATAATAATATATAAATATATAATATAAAAAATATTTAAAAATTCAGGCAACTGGGTCGGGTATCGGGCAGCCTGACCGGGGCTGCCCGAAGCCCGTCTAAGTAGAAAATTCAGGTCGGGTTAGGCAGCCCAAAAATTTGGGCAGTTTGGGCTCAGTCATTAGGTAAGAATTCAGACTTTTCAATGGTCGCGGGCGGCCCGTCTAAAGTTTCAGCACTAATGGGTACGGTTGGGAAACAAGGGAATAATAACCCAGTCCGATAGGCAAAAGGGAGTAAGGGTGTAATTCGGCCGGGTAGGGTCGGGTTGAGCCGAAAAATTGAGCCGACCCGCTCAGTGCGAGTTGAGAAAACTTTGGGCCGTAATACTCTTTTAAGCCCACAAACCCGCAACCTGTCGGGTGACCTCGGGTAGGCTCGGGTTACTCGGGTTGGTGAAAATCAATTTTAATCTATGACTTCATACCTCTTTTAACAGTCCAAAAGCATAAAATCCATAAACAGTCCATAAGCATTAACATAACATCAAACATACTTCTTAACAGTCAATAAAGTCTAGAAATAAAATTAACAATACGTCAAATAAATAATCCATATGGAGATAGTCCAGATTATAGATTTAAGAATTTAGGGTTACACACTTAAATCGGGCCGGGTCAAAACAAAGCGGATTCAAAATGCCCGTCCCGTCCCCCTAACCCGCATAGTGCAGGTTGGGACTATTTGAATCTGAAATTTAAAAAAAAAAAACTTACGCTTTCAGATCAAGTCAAGTCAAATCGGGCGAGTTATTCGGGTTTGGACTCATTTCTTACGCCTTAGGAGGGGCGTTCTCAAAACCAACACATTCAATTTCATGGTAATATATACCTGTGTGTGTGTGTGTGTGTGTGTGTCTGTGTGTGTGTCTGTGTACGCCATTAAAATTAGAAACCTTGGATTTTGGAATTAGCCCAAGATTTCCAACAACGAACCCAAATCAATGGCTCAACAACAACAACAAACCCTTCCTTCGCAACTGGATTCAGCTCAACCCCAATCTCTTCCTCCACCGCCTCCTCCGCCCTTCGATCCCAGTCGAAGTATATCTCTTTCTTTCCTCCTTCCATTCGTCCTTGTCTTCAAATTTCTCGTTTAAATACTTTTTAGAGACTGTTGGGCATCTGGGTCATGATTATTTCCGTTTGATATTGTATGTATTTATGAAATTTCTCTACTGCTTTAATTTTGGCTTTGTGGGTTGGTTTTGTCAGTTCTTTCTGTCATATAATTTTTTTTTTTAAATTCTGATTCCTGAAGAAATTCCTTTTTTTTTTTTATAAATAATTTGTTCGGTAAAATTCAGAGCAAAGTTTACTCTTACAAGCATTACAAGTAACTTTATTTTCTAATCTAAAAACGGTACAATGTAATGTCCATGTTTCTTGCCTCAAGATTTTTCCTTTTCGCTTAATGTGTGTTCATTTGTCATGCATTTAGGAGAAAAAGTTATGTTTTTGTTTAATTGGAATGGTTTCTCCCAATAAAACTTTAAGATAAATGGTTTTGTCTTTCATACAATTCTTATTTTGCTTTATTTATTTATCTATTTATTTATTTATTTATTTTGTGTTTCTTTGAAGTGATTGGCATCATCAAGAGGAAGGCTTTGATAAAGGAGTTAGCTGCTGTGTACCATGCAGAATGCCTTAAATACTGTCAAGAGCTTTTGGAACTCCAAAGAAAGTGGGATGAGGTTAGAATTTAGATATCACACCATTTTCTTCGTTCATGAATTTATGCTTTCTATCCTAGTCATATATTCATGTTGACATGATCTTTTTGGGACCTAAGCTTAAACTATTCGTGTACTGGATTAAATTGTCACTAATGTTTATAGTTCATACACAATTTTCTAGACCTTAGCAAGTTGTACACATATTCTGCTGTAGAAAAGGAAAATTTTAAAGATCTCTTGTCTTTTCATTTTTATCTTCCTCCGGTCTTGTCTCAATGATTCATCTAATAACAATCAAAAGGTACTTTTACTTTTTCATTTGGGTTTAGAGGCTAGTCCTATTTGGTATTTTAAAACTAATTCTGAATTCATGATCCAGTTTCTACCGTGGCATTTTGGGTATATGGCTTGAGCTGGAGTCTCCCCAATATGAGAGCAGCCAAATTACTTGTTTTGATGCTAGAAAGTTGCGGAATGGTTTTAGTATACCTCCAGAAGATGAACATCATTCACATGACTGTGTTTAATTGGACCAATAAATAGTGGATGAAAGTTAAAAACAAATCTGATAACCTCAACACTTTAAACTGTAAGTGTGAGATGGTAAGTGTTTTGGAGATGTAAAACCTTATCATATTAAACTAAACTGTGAGATGGGAAAGTGTTTTGGAGATGTAAAAGATTAGAGTTTGATAGCTTAGCAAACTTTACTAAAACTGATTGTGTTGGAGCCACTCTTGAGTGGTGCCTAGAATGGTACGGTAAAAACAATGGAAGAAAAACTTGACATCACTTCATATAACCATGGGCCATGGGTTATGGATCGATCTATGGTTCGGTAAATCCATCCTTGCTATTACATTCTTTTCTCATTTTCTTTTGTTCCTAAATCCTCACTTTGGTGGCTCCAACTGCCAGGAAAATTAACGTATTGTTTTCCATCTTCTTTTCACAAAATCTGGAAGCAAGTAGTTCAGTAGCCTTAGTTGTAGCTGTATGAATTGATGCATTGCATCTGCAATGTGCCTGGGGACCTTTGTACATTTTTTTTTTTCACTTGAAAAACTCAGATCTAAAAACCATTCTTTCAATGTCGCTGGTTGTTCAGTTTCTATAATCATTATTACACTCAGACAATCATTGCATTTGTTCTGAGTTAGACTGTCTAATTTTCATGGCTCTAGCCTTAAATGTTAAAGATGTGGTTTTAGATCTTACATTGATAACTTTTCTTTATCTTCTCACTATTGACTGGTTCTTAAAATGTCCGCAGCCATTCATCGACTTGAAAACTCCAGAGGATGCGAGGAAAGAGACAATGCGACCGCCCAAGCGGCTAAAGAAATTACGCTAGGCACTTACTCGTCGTAGGATTAGCATCGGTTTCTGTACAACAATATTCAATAGGATGTGAAAATTTCCATACAGACAAACTCATGACAGTTTGTGATTCCTGATATTTGGTCCGTCTAAACATTTGTCATCTTCTATCCCAAGTAGTTAAGGGATTTTTTACTGTCATGTGCATTACCTATATGTGTGGTCCATTGTGGTTAAAGATCAAGCAGTCTGATATTTGCAATCCACAAGACTACAGGAGAGGTCTGGTTGTTGCTGCTTCATCGCTTCATTCATCCATTCCTACGCCTTTTATGCTGTAATATTCCAGTTTACAGGTGCTATGAGTTGTCTCTTCTACAGTGAAACGTATTCTCAAAGTAGTGAATGGCGAAGGTTTCGTTTCCAAAGCGTTTTTTACACTTTTCAAGGAGGAAAAAATGAAATTGAAAATGAAACGGCGTTTGTTAGGAAATATTTTGAAAACGAAAACGAAAATGATGATAATAATTTTTGTAAAGAAATTTAAAAAATAGTTGAAAGTTGTTTTCATTTTTCTATTTTCATTTTCTAATATTTATTAATAATATTATAATATATTGATTAATAATTATAATAAAACATGATTTCACTCTTTTATTATATTTAAAATAATCTTTTAAAAAATCAACTAAATACAATTTTAGAATTTTCTGTGTTTGGAATTGTTCTTATTTTTATTTTTCACATTTTTCGAGAGCAAAAAAATGAAAACGATTTTAAAATAGCGTTTGGCATAATTAAAGATAAAAAATGAAATAACAACAATTTTTTGGTTTAGTGTAAAATGAGAGAAATTAGTCATTTTTCATTTTTTGTTTTCATTTTTTCCTCTCTCGAGCAGAGAGAGGGAGAGACATTAATGAGTTTTTTTTTATACTGAAAATAATCTTTTTATAAAACTACCAAACGCATTTTCAAAAATGATTTATGTCTGAGATTGAAAACGTTTTCATTTCCATTTTCATACAAAAAATAAAATTATTTTGAAACGAGTTCCAAACGCATTGTTTTTTTTATGAAAATGAAAATGAAAACGTTTTTAATCTTAGACAGAAAATATTTTTAAAAATGTGTTTAGTAGTTTTATCAAGAGATTGTTTTCAGTATAAAAAAACTCATTAATGTCTCTCTCTCTCCTCGAGAAAGAAGAAAACGAAAACAAAAATTGAAAAACTCTGCTCGAGAGAAGAGAAAACGAAAATAAAAAATAAAAAACAATTAAAAGTCATTTTTCATTTCTCTCATTTTACACGAAATCAAAAAATTATTTTCATTTTCATTTTTTATTTTTATTGCACCAAACATCGTTTTAAAAACGTTTTTATTTTTTATTTCTTAAAAAACTTAAAAAAAAAGACGGGATCAATTCCAGCCAATATTTCAGAAATGTTATTATTATAAATGAAAATTTTGATCCGTTCAATTGCTTTCCACGAGTTGAAACATTTAAAACCGTTAAAAAAAACCCAATAATAAACTTCCAAACTGACTAAACCAAATAATAAAATAAAAACCAATTGATTTAATTTAATTTGATTTGGTTTAGTTGGTTTTCACTATTCGTCGTTTTTTTTTTTTTTTTTTTTTTTTTTTTTTTTTTTTCTTTTTGAAAATATGTCGGTATTATTAAATATCATGTTCTTTGGCGACTTCTCTCCCGTTATAATTCAATGCTATTTTTAGGCGACAATTTTCCTGCTGCATCTGTTATTTCATATGTACTGCAAAAGTAAAAACAATTGAGCCGAACTACCGCCAGCACAACTCGCCAACACGGCAGAACAGTTCTTAGATTGTGAAGAACAAAATGTAATAAGTTTGTTGCCCTAAGAACTTTTCAAACTCACAAAATAAGATTTACAGGTTCAAAATTGAAGATTCGTACATATTTATATGGCCCTACTTTCTTTTTAATTTATTTTTCTGCTTATGGAAACCAAAGCTTCAAGTTTCCAACACTACTCTGTTAAGCAATGTGTCTCTTTGAACTTACAAGTCCCTATCTGCAAAAATCACAAGAAACCAATTTACAAAACCACTCAGCAGACTAAGAATCGAAAGAATCTAGAGTGAAAGAGATTAACTCAGCAAGATGCATACATTTGTTTTAGGGATGACAAAACCCTTTTGAACCTTTGCAATGGACAACTTGGTGCGGGTCCTTTAAAAAATGTCGTCCATATCTTTTGCAACGGGCAGCTTGGGGTAGTTGGCGCAGAAACCTGCCCTTCCATGGTCATCTCAGCTGATTGTCCCATGTCATGAACTAACTTCACAGATTCCGAGAGTCGATTGAGTAGATTCACCAAGGCAATCACTTCATTTCTTTGCAACTGCAGCTGAACACCAAAACAATAATGTTAAGATAAGTTTTTTTCCCTTTTTTTCGCGTCTTAGCACCCGCATGAGCTCATAAGCGTTGCGGGCCAGTGGTCAATGAGATAGCCAGTGGTTAAGGTAAGTAATTTGGAACTTAGCTACTCTTCCAATTGAGGAAATAGCCGATGACCCTAGTGCTTGGTCATGCAATGCATCAATAAGAAGAGATCAAATATACGTATGCATATGAGGTGCAAATGATCCACAACTCATTAATTCAAATAGGCAAGTAACTTACGTTCTGGCCCAATTTCTCATGGCCATCAACAGAAAAGAGGATTTTTAATGCAGTACCAAGACCAAGAACCTGAAGCTTTCCCCAAAGTCGACACTTCTCACATCCTACACAATCCATCAATGCACTGCAATGCCAAGAATCAGATGAGTAAAATCTCATATAATAACATTATAACATATGTTTTGGGGGTAGTTCATACACCATCACAACATTATCATTATAAGACTTTTGTTCACTATTATCATCAAATAGCAATGATAAATAATTCTGAGAATTCAATGATAGAATAATATTATAAGTTCTAGCAACAACTACTTTAAGCAAAGGTGATCCATTTACTAAAAAGATCACCATTGGAGAAAAATAAAATACTGAACTCAAGAGGATTTCAAAAACTACCTTATGTTCCGGAACTGCTTTTGTATTTTTTGCTTTAATTCAGGTCCACTTTGGCCTTTCCACAACTTAGCTTCATCAAATGGGAGAGGGCAAGCAGCTTGTAGATTAGGATTATAGAGAAGCTGTTTCATCAAGGACTGTGTTTTAAGATCCTCAACTGGGTTACCAGTGTCATACTCAGCATATTCCAAATAATCTGCAGCCTAAGCACATTCAAGGGACCAACATTAAAATTTCATCAAGACATACTCTTAGAGATGAAAAGAAAAAATCCACCAGGATAAAAAATCCATTGCCAATGCATTCAAGTTGAATTCTTACCTTTGTCACAGCTCGGAGGACAAAGAGATATGTGAAGTACAAGTTTCGTATGCGATCAGGATATCTAAGGACCCGATCATGAAGTAAAGAGATATTTCGACCCCACTGAAATACAGATTAAAACAGTCATTGCTAATATGTAACAATCATAAGACAGATAACATCTAAACAGATTGCACCATGTGCAAAAAATTAGCCCACTACTCAATATCGCAACTTAAAAAGAAGTGAAATGAACAGGTTCAATCCACAAACACTCAGTCGAGCATGAAGATTTATTTATACATGCACGTTCAGACTGTAAGACAGGGCTATTGACCATTGAGAATTGAGATGTAGTGTCAACACCCATGTGTATGACACATATGGGGCTATGATTAAGGGAAGAAGTCTTGTAAACACCAACTTTTCGTTATAAAAGAGCAAAATGGCTAGAATTGACAGAAAAATACTAAACAATGTTGTACCGAATTTGTAGCTTCATCAAGTAAATAATCAGCAGCGATGTGGATTGAAATAGAGGAGTGAAGACCAGAAATCAACTTGTACAATATTCTTTCCTCCTGGCATAATTCTTCAGATGGATCTGCATAGGTTGAAAATCAGTATTATACTTCTGTAAGTAAAACTTTGTGATGCATTATGATATCGTCTATAAGCAAGTGAACTAGAGGAATAAATGAAAAACAAATAAATAGAACAGCTTACATTTGGGGCAGTTTTCTGAGTAGATAGCATCCCATATCCTTCTAGCCGATGGCCCCGTGTAGCCAGTATATCGTTCAGGATTCAATTGGAGATTCACATATGTCATTTCATCTGAAAATTAAATGTGAAACTGGTTATGACATCAAATATTCAAGATTAAAGTTTGATACACCACATGATGCTTAAGAAATGAGTATTTTCCCAAGTAGTTCCCGAAACAGTTAATTTGTAATGCATACCGTTGTCTGTCTCGTCATCATTTGTCCAAGGATTGTCTGTAACTGTCCATCCTCTGAAAGCTTTACTATCCAGTGTACGGTCCACAGCTGCCTGTGGCTTTCCTTCTTGACACACAAGATCCTCTGATGAAAGGCCCTGATAGGAGTTCTTGAATGATTCAGGGAACTCGTGATCTGGACATTCACAAACACTACAATCTCGCAGACGGCACATGCCATCATCAGGCCAGAAAGGGCAGTCACACCATAACTTAACCTATCAAAATCACATAACCTCGGTTTCAGAAGAATCATATCAGAAGAGTAGTATCTATTCATTTCAACAAAATGTTCCCTCAAAAAGTACACTGTACACCTAGATTTTGTAAATTAAGTTAAGAAACGAAATCAATCATGATAATCAACGACAAGTAATTGAGGAGAACAACACTGAAAAAGGGAAAAATCTCAAATTCTTCCCATTGCATATAGTTTCATAAGACAAAAGCGTAATGGAAAATCCACCTTAACTTGTCTAGTCACAACTTAATACTTATAAATTTTTCAATACTACATCAAATCAGAATCTCAATTATATATCATATAGTTTCATAAGACAAAAGCGTAACGGAAAATCCACCTTAACTTGTCTAGTCACAACTTAATACTTATAAATTTTCCAATACCACATCAAATCAGAATCTCAATTATATATTAAAGATTGGGTTGTGGGAGGACAAAACCACTGAAAATTGTAAATTTTGAAAGTATGATGGCCAACATAGTAAATCGCCCACACGGAGTTAGTTATATGACACCAGGCTAATTTTATGCAAAATCCACCATAAGTTGTTAAGATATGAACAATAAAAACGTCCACTAACACATTAAATCAGCATTTCAGTTCTAAAGCTTTTTTATCTAAAAATTGGCAAAGCATTCAACTTTTGTTTTTGTTTTTGTTTTTGTTTTGTTTTGTTTTGTTTTGGTTTTTTTTTTTTTTTTAAAGCTCGTGTAAGATCAACAAACCTTGAAGTAGCGGAAAAAGGGAGTTTTGACAAGCTCTTGGAGCGACGGATGAAGAACTTCCTCGTTCAGACGATCCACAGTCTCGTAATCACAACAACAATCCTCCACTATTCCACTATACTTACGCATATCCTAAATGCATTGACCAAAATAAATTCAAAAAACACCCAAATTAATCAAAATTCCAAGGACCCAAAAACCCAAACCTTCGTTCCTCCATTTTCCCGTTAGCCAAACAGGAACTACAAAGAAACGAAGTGCAAGTGAGAAAATCATACCCGATCACAGCGACAGGGCTTATTACTCTGTCCGAAGAGAGAAATCTGAGGGGCGGTTCGAGAGGTCATGGCGACGGCGACGAAGATGGCGACTAGAGCTCCGACCACCCAGGCCCATCGTTTTGTCTGAATTCCAGCCATGAATGCGAAACTACAAGCTCCGAAAACTCCCAAATTTTGACTACCGTTTGGTTCTAAGAAAGTGAAAAAGAAAAAGAAGAAGAAAAGAGAAAAAATTTGTTCGTGATCTCCAAAGTATTATCTTTGTGTGTATGTGTGTGTGTGTGTATATATATATATATATAGGAGTGAAAAAACTGGTGGATTTAGTTTTGGTTTTGTTGTGTTGTTTGGTTTGGTTAAGAAAACGGATTTTGGTACAATGGGCAGAAAACAATAGAAAAAAATGGGCAGAAAAGAAAATGCCGGGAAAATTAATTAATCAGCGGCGGAGAGTGGGCGAACGTTGGAAAAGTCTTCGAAAATCAGCAGAACCGACATCCGCGAATCGGAGAAGGCGGTCTGGTGACTGGGCTTCCGATAAACGGGCCCACAAGTTTTAATGTTTGGGCTTCTTTGTATACTTGGGCTATAAGGCCTACTGCAAAGTGAATCCAGCCGGCTACGGCCTTCATAGCTGCTCTTTCTTGGGAAGTTAAAATACATGCCATGCCATCAACGTTCCAAGAATTTTGCATTTATGCCACTATACCTCTATAAATTTATGCCACTGGTTGGCATAAGTGAGAAGATAACATTATTTGAACTTAATGATATAGATATTAAGTTTATGCCATTGGGTGGCATAACTGAAAAGATGACATTATTTGAGTGGTATTTATGTATTTCTCTCAGTATGTATTTTATTCGTGTCTAAAAAAAAAGCAAAAAAAAAAAAAAAAAAGATCCAACATTTTCTCAGCGAGAATCACTTTTTAAAAGTTGGTAATTACTTATCCATCACAATAAAACTTTGAGAAATTCAGGTAAATAGATGTTTTTTAAACAAATGGCCGGATTCTTTTATTTTAGTAAAATGGCCGTCTTTTTCCAAAATCAATCAGTGATTGATTGATTTTTTATTATAATTTACTAATGACTTATCATTAGTAAACATGTAATTTATTAATTAAAATTGATAAATTACTAATCAACTTCGATTAATTATTAATTGATATTGATTAATAATGAAAATAATGAAAATTTATCAAGTTAATCACTAATAAATTTAAGTCAATCAGTGACTAACTACTAAGTTAATCAGTGATTAACCTCTAAGTTAATAAAAAATGCCATTTTACTAATATTACAAAACTTAGACTATTTTTTATTTAAAAAAAAAAAAAGAAATCCTGGCCTATTTTCCTATATATCCCAAAAACTGTGTGATCCTGTAGCGACTATCAAAGAGACATTACATGGACAGTGGTAGGCGACCCTCGATTGATTTACAAATTCAAGGAATGAATTTCGCAATAAAAGAAGAAAATATGAAGTAAAAGCACCCAACTCGATCAAGCTGATTATCAAGTCAACCAACTCGCTCACGTTCATTCGATCTACTCTTATGATATTGTATTTCTTGATCGACGAAACGAGCTTACTAGTTATGTTGAAATATAGCAAAATATATTTTATATACAAAATATTAAAATCATTTTGATTTTATATCTTATAGCAAAAAAGATTACAATTATTATAAAAATTACTCCGTAATTACTTTACTCCCAAAATACTCTACAAAAATTTGTTATACTTCAATTCCATTTTGTAAAGTAATTTCTCCCCTTCTTTCTTTTAAGAGTGGGTTCGAAATTTTGTCTTAAGAGCAACCATTCACATCTTTCATTAGTAAATATTAAATCTCAATATTACTTAACATGACAATTTTTTAGTGGTTACATGCATAATTTAGCCATAATTTCACAACTCACTCCATACAAGGTGTATAGTTAAAATCTCCTATCCTCTAATTCAAAATAATAGTAATAATAATAACGTGATAAGTTTTTAACATTTACCAATAAAAAATTGATAATATACATACTAGATCAATTGATATCAAGAAGTTAGGATAAAATGTGGGATATTCTCACTAAATTTAGGAAACTCCACCCTCAACTTAATTTGTTTAATTGAAAAGTTTAAGAATCTACTGATATATTAATTACAACCATATGACTTAAATCATTGTTACATAATTTAAGGTTATAATTTTTAGTTTTGTATTGATATAATAGCCACTCTTTTTTTTTAATTGATAGGCATTAAAGAATTGCCACATCAAGTGATACTAAAAGATTAACTCAACTATAAAAAAAGTTAATATCCCCAGCCATAAAATTCTATTAAATATCTTAAATTTCAACTAATTAGATAAAATATAAGATTAAAAATAGTGAGCACACTTAAATTTTGCATAGTTTCACATAGTGACACTTCAAGTTTAAAATGTCTTACTTAACAACGTTGATAAATAAACTCAGGATTAGAACAAAAATAAATATAAAAGTTAATCTCTCAAAAGGAGGATAAAAATTCATATAATCTCTCAAAAGGAAGAGAAAAATTCATATAATTAATAATGTTATACATACTGTTAGGTATTTTAATTAGTTGACAATTTATTGGTAATCTTGTAAAAATTTAAAAAACAGGTTCAAGAAGATTTCGTATTACAGAAGAAGATTCAGAATCAGATTTGGAGAGATAAAGATAAGGTCTTGGTCAAAGGAAGATAATGCATTGGTTATTTGAATTTAAATGTGATTCTAAAAAGAGATAAAGGGGATATGGATTTAAATTTAAAGTGGAGATTAAGCTTAGTTTATCTTTGGGATATATATATATATATTTATTGGCACTTGGAATTTACGTGATGTTATCCACATGGAGCCAATGTGATGACTAAGCCATTGTGAAGATATTATGCGCATGGAGATTTGAAGTTTGAATTATATTTGAAGAATAAATGTTTGTGCTGAAATAATGGGCTGGAAGCAATTGGATGTTTTCAATCTACTTTGGCATTATCTACTTGCCTTACATGCAATACTCGGTGGATGTTTTTTTGGAAAATCAATGAGATAATGAAGCAAAGTTGTTTGTGTAGATAAGATATCATACATATTACTTGGAGAAGATCGTGGAGAGAATTTGAAAAAGCTATCTTGGTGGGTTAAGAGATTTGTTATGGGGCCTATGTGATTAACGTGAAATAAGGGGAGTTTTATAAGCTTTATAAAAGTAAAGGCCTCAAGGTTGCTCTGTGATACATGGGTTTAATAGAATATTTTTAGAAAAGAGTCGGTGAGTTTTTGTGAGCCTTGCGCGTTATTGAGATCGTCCTTTAGGAGAGGGATTTGTTACTTTTGGGAGGAAGCTCTGTCGGTCGAAGGGAGTTCGCCATGCAGTTAAGAAGACGTGTGGTGCATGCTAAACAAATCACTGTGGAGATTCGTCACAGCGGCGTCATTGTCTAGGAGGGAGTCCTTGAGTGAATAAATCCGTCCAGTGTCTGTAATTTCTGGAACATAGTGAACTGTTTATTTTCTGGGCGTGACCCCGCAGAGTAGGTGTGCACACCGAACTGCGATATCATATCGTGTGCATTTATTTTACTTTCTGTATTACTGTATTTCCTTAGTAATTAATTTGAATAGTAAGAAACTCGGATCTTAATTAATCAAGCCGTATTCCAGATAGTGTTCCAACATCATCTGGAACATCAGACGTAACATCAGATCTAACACATATAATTTCTTAACTGTATGTAATTACAATATCGTCTTTGCGAGATTTAATCAGTGAGTATACTTTTTCATACTTCAATGCACCGATTTTTAGTTGATAACAGAAATAGACTCATAAAAGGGACAAAATCACAAAATTTTGATATAAAGTTGTTTACATAACTAAAATGTGAGAGACAAGAAGATAAGAAAAAGGGGAGAAAAAGGTCAAATGGATGCTAGGATTTTATCTAAGATATTTGATCTAGATGATGATATAGAGTACGTGTTATATTTATGAAAAGAATTTAAAAAAAGAGAAAAAAATTGAGGAAAAAGTTATATGTACTAGATTTAGGAAAATTGTAAAAAATAACAGATTTTTAAATTTAAATTAAGTATATAGTAACTTTTAAAACTATTTGAAATAAATAACAGTTTATATGGTATATGAATCATTTACACCGTGTAAATGATTCATTTATGACCGGTAAAAAATAACTTACGTGGTAAAAAATCTTAAGTATGTGGAAAAAATTCTTTTTACCTGTCGTAAAAAGAAAAATTACGTGAAAAAATGTTTTTACTAACGTTAATGAACCATTTACACAGTAAATGATTCATTTACTACGTAAACTAATATTTATTTTAAATAATTTTAAAATATGCTATTTACTTAATTTAGTTTCATAAATATGCTATTTACTACATTCTCCTATAGATTTATAAAAGAAACAATAAAAATTTATGAGAGCAAATTTAAAAACAAAATAAAATAAAATTGTAATTAGCTAAATTGTGATTATTTTGAAAGATAAAGATTTAGTGGAGACAGGTGAAAAATCATTGTAGTAAGTTAAATTGATATACACTATTACATATGGCACTACAAGAAAAAGGGATTTTTGCGACGATTTTTTGTCATCGTAAAAATCTGAGTGTCATCGTAAATAACGGTTTTTACGGCGACGTGTCGTCGCAGATATGTCGTCACAAAAACTTTTTTTGCGACGACATAGTGTCGCCACAAATATATTTGCGACGACATCTTTTTTTTTTGCGACGACAAGCGTCGCTAATACGTCGTTGTAAAATTCTCGTGATATGATCTTTTTTGCGACGATATTTTTCAAAATACCGTCGCAAATAATCTTACTTTTTTGTGACGACAAGTCTAAAAAAGCCGTCGCAAAAAACTGAAATAATTTTTTTTTATAATTTTTAAAAAATGGCAATTAATTAATTTTTAATTTATTAATTTTAATTTTACTCTTAATGTGTTTAATTAATTTTAATTTTACTCTTAATTAACACAATTAAGTTTTATTAATTAAAGTGTGTTAATGAACTTATTAAAATTCAGGTTTTCTAACTAAATTTCGACAGCATAACGACTTATTTTTCATATAATCCAAAAATCAAAACCTGCAGAAAAACAACTTTAAAATATTTCGGCACACTATAGCTGCAAGATGTGCCACCCAGAACAAGAATCATAAACATATACTAAATTTCAACAATATAAGAAAATCATAATTCAAATATTGTCATCATAATCCTGAATTCATACAACCAAAAACTACTATAATTTTAAACTAAATAAATATAAAAAACTTACAAAGTTCAAACCCACTAAACGGGAGCTGAAAATAGCAGGATTACATCGGAGGAACCGTGCAAACAAGGAAGAAGGTGA